AGAGAAAAAGCCAGTGTTGGTGTCTTGGGGAGAGCTCCCTTGCTTTTTGCTGCCTGTGGGAGAATTGCAATTTCAACTGAGGATTGGAAATAGAACAAATCTCTGTAAGTAATTATTTCTGTCGATTGCAGCCTCAAGAAAAAGAAAACCAGAAGAGAGGAAATTTCTACATTGAAATCCACTGTTAGAGTCTTCAAAAGCAGTGTTAAGTTTGCTAATGTGTTCTTGTTGCCCTGGAAAGTCTGAAGGATTTCTAGACCCATGTACATGTTTTGAATGGGTCTGTTTGGACTTTCCAATTGATTAGATAAATAGGACTTTTAGGAAAACCTGGTCTGTTATTTGTGCCCCAAACACAGCTGTCTGCTTTGCTGCCATAGAAATTAAACCACTGCATTTGTAAAGTCTTTGGTTGACTGATCAAATGACCTGGGCTTGACTGAAACCAGATAGTGTATTCTGTGCTGGTTCTGCTCCTAGGTGGCAGAGCAGAAGTGGAAGATCAGCTTAACAATAACACAAAGCTTAAGACAGACTCTGTGGGGCCATAAAACGATGGAAATATGAGTGCTGATGGGACTGTCTGGGTCATAGACAAATGATGACAGGAAAGGGCATGTCCCCAAAACACCATTTGAAAATGCAGTGCTAAATGACTCTACAATCAGCTAAAAGACAAATTGCATTCCTGAACTGTGATTCCTCACACACCCTCTTGGGGGAGGACACATCACATGGAGCGTGATTCCTGTACCCACTCCCCATACATCAGACTTGGGACCCTACCTGGAGATGTCTCTTCACTGTTGACCTGTGCTCTGGGTGTAGATTAGCTACAGTTCATACTAAGGGACTAGAAGCCTGGGAGGGGGGGGGGGCTTTCCTGTGATACATGCTTTCCTAAGGTGTGATTAGCCACAGCAAGGGGTTGTATTGTGGTTTTTAAAAGGTTACTCCCTGGGTAAATGAGCTGGACAAAATGAATGGGAAGTTAAAAGTTGTAAAACAATGCTTTACAATTGTGAAACAATCCAATTCTTACCAATTCCTGTCTTTCCCGTTATATTGCCTAAAGGCATTTTCCTAGGGAAGTATGTCTTGCCTCCTTGCATTCAACTCTCCCAGGGAAAGTGAGTGAGACTCACTGCTTTTGTAACAATGGAGTAAAAAGGGAAACTCTGAGAGGCTCAGCAGAGGAGACAGTGAGCCAGTGACAAGCTTCAGTTTCCCCATAACTCCTTAAATTTCTCCCTTCTCCCTTCTGGAAGCCTAATGGCTTGTTTTCAAGCTGTTGCTGAGTGGTCTGTAGTAAAACATTTGCCAAGCCTCCCATCACCCATGGCTGCACAGATGAGACAGGAGTGAAGCTTACTCCTACGATTAGCACACAATTCATGAAGCCACCACCCACATGTGTGGGAAGGAGTGACCAAAGTTTTGGATAAGCCAAACCGATGGAACCTATCTTCCTTTAGACAGTTCCTCTGAAAACAATCAATAAACTGAATGATATGGATTGAAGTGGGTGGCAGGCTCTTCCAGAAACCGATAATCAGTAATACCTAGTGTCCACTGTGCTTCGTGCACACCCTTGAATTTTGCTTGCATCAGCACCTGCCTATGCTGGCCTTGTCTCAGCACTGGAGGGCATTCGGATCCACTTGAACTTATTGACCAGAGTTTGCCTGAGCCAAAACTGATGCTTTGGCTACGCAAAAGAGAAATTTAAGAAGAAAGCCACCTTGTTTTTGAAAGACCAAAAAAGTAATGTTAATGATGGACTGACCTGGAAACCAATATCTGTTCCTTGGAATTTGCTAACTTCCTCTCACAAGGTCCTGAGATAACAAAAGTTCACACTGCCCCTCCTTTCTGCCCCTCCTTTCCTGTGAGTCAACAGGTGGTAAATAGGATCCTTAGGAAACAAAGAGATAGCTGCAACTCTGGTTTGCCCAGACAAAATTAATTAGCACACCCTGAGGCCCTAAGGTCTGTTGACCCTAATAGCAGACCATCCGACCTCCAAGGGTCACGTACTCAATGGACAGAGGGTCCCACCCCCTCCCTAAGCTTGTGGGTTTGCCTTTAAAAACACCTGGGCCCAGGGGAGGAGGCTTCTTTCTAGCCTGCATGCTGGAGGAGACCGTTTGTGCAAACGTTTTCTGTTCATTAAAGCCTCTTGCGTGTTGCAGCAACTGGACTGGACATTGAGTTCTTGGGTATCGACCCAACCTGGAAGACTCCTCATTCTGAGGGTCTTACAGTTTTCTAAGGCAGAGTTTTGTGGCTAATGATGTTTTAAGTGGTTAAATCCAGGCTCTCTGAGGGTTGTGAATTGTTTTTAAAAAATCAGCTTAGGGACTCAAAGAAGGAGACCACAATTTTAAATGAAGCAAGCATCTGAACAAGGTGAGCTTTACTCTTGATCAAGAGGGTGTGCCAGAGAAGAGCAAACACACAGAGGCTGGACAAAAGTCCTGGGTTTTTTTATTCTAACTCAGGTGGTGACAGCGTCTTTTCCCCATTGGCTGGGCTCTGATCTCACAATCTTACTCATTTGACTAGTCTGAAAAGAATTGGAACCCAGTGAAAGACCCCCAGAGACCCCAAGAGTTTGGAGCCTGTCAGGGGGAAGGCCCTTGCCCCCAAGAGACGAGACCGGACCACTGGATGCAAGTGCAAGAGGTTATTTATTGTTTACACACAGGTACCTATGGACACCCCAGTCTTTTGAGAGACTGAGAGAGCGTGCCTGGTTAAAGCATATGCAGTTTATATAAATAAGGTTGGTGTGGCAAGAAGCAGGCTTACAGAAGCAGAAGCATGGTTACAGGGACTTCATTGTTTCATCTAAATGTAGCAGTTGTAGTTAACCAAGGACAGTTGGTTATTCGGGTTGGGCACAAAGAATACAAAGAATTCAGTTATGACTGTCTCAGCATACTGGACACTGTCCTGCTGACCTTGCTTTAGTCCAAGCTGCAGACCACAGATATCTGGTTGGCGTTGGATGAGAGCAGCACCTGGTTCCCTCCTGTACTTTTCTCATAACTTGACCTTGGCAAATTAGCAAGAGCAATTTAAACAGGCAATAAGCATAGTGGGGGTCTTTCATTCCCCCCTTTTTCTATTAAATGAATAAAACCTTTTATTCACTGTTGTTCAGTTTCTAATTGTTTTAGTCTCTGATATTGTTGGGTCAAAACTAAGGCTTGAATTACTGACAAGCGTTCCTTCATGAACTGTATTAGCCTGTTCAGAATGCAGGGACCAAAGGTGAGAATCAAAAGGAATATAATTAGCGGTCCCGTGATGGTGGATATCAGGGTTGTAAACCAAGGGGAGCGATTATAAAGTTTTTCAAACCATCCTTGTTGGGCCTCAAATTCTTTTTGTCTCTTCTCCAACCGATCCCGTAGTTTGTCTAGGGTCTCAGTCACAACTCCTGTTTTGTCCACATAAAAACAACATTCCTCTTTGAGGGCAGCACATATGCCCCCTTCCTTTAAAAATAGGAGGTCAAGTCCCCTCTGGTTTTGGAGAACTACCTCAGATAAGGAGACTAGGGAGTCTTTGAGATCTCTAATGGATCTTTCTATTGCCTTTAGGTCTGCAGTCATAGCAGTATGAAGAGACTCATACTGGCTGACTCGACTCAAGGCTGCTGCTCCTGTGCCTATTCCTGCTGTTATTCCAGCCCCTAGAAGAAGGGCCAAGGTTATATTGACAGGCTCTCTCCTGTACCTATGTTTGTTTTCAAAGAATTTATAAACAGTTTAAGAAGTATGATAGATTATACGAGGGTATAATTCAACCAGAGCACAATAATCAGAAGCCTTATTCAGGATTTGTGCTGAAATGCAAGGAGTCAGTCCAGTGCTACATGCCCAGTAGGTTCCATTGGGAGCTGAAAGAAAATAATTGCCAGGGGTAATTGGCAGTGTCTGATTACATAGCTTTTGGTGGGTCTTGGGTATTGTGCCTAGGCAGAGCCCCTGCCCTGTGACTTCAGGGAGAGTCAAACTAAGACCTGGTGAGTCCAAGCATTGCTGAGGGGGACTGGTATGGTTTAAAAATTTTTCATTAATAGCTATACCTTCATAATGGGGGGGGGTTGGAAGGAGACAGAGCCAACAGTCTTTGGCCTGGTCAGGGCGTGTAGCATTGAGGGCTGTGTAAGCCCCTCTAATTAATTTTAATAGTCTATCCCCGGTACCTGGGATTGAGAATAAGTGGGTGTTTTTAGGGAGAGTTGGCTGTGGCCTGGAGGGAAGTTTTTGGTCTGTAAGCACAGAGTTTGGCCCTATGGCTTGTGGGTCAGGATCTCTAATTTTTAGGCGAAGTTTAAAGACAACTCCTTTATCCAGGCCTGGCAGATACCACCTTAGCCCCCATGTCTTCCCTTGTGTCCAAACCGCATAGTCCTTTTTCCCATGGATGGTGAAGTCAATTCTCAAAGGGAGACAACGGGCTGACTCACAGACCCAACCCCCCCACATTGATGGGAGGGTGGCAGCTTTTCCTGCCCAAGGGGGGGCGAGTGTAATTTTGGCGCACTGTTATTAGATCCCAGGACGAGCTGGGCTTCCAATAGGCACTCCCGGTGGTCTCACATCCCCAATTTTTACAAAAGTATTCCTGATGCCCCCCACATCCTGACCCCCTGGTTTGACTCAGCTGAGGACAGACATAGAAGTCTGATTGGGCTAGAAAACATCGGGTCTGGGGGTTGCTACATCCTATCCATCCGTCTTCTGTTCTAGGCATGTCCTTTTTAAGGGAGTCTGCACCATAAGTGGGGATGTCCCAAGTGTCCAGTCCAGAAGCTAGTTGGCAAAAGTCAGGGGTGAGGCTAGGCCACCAGGTGCCAGGTAGATTAAGGCCAGAGGTTGACCAGACGACCTCACCAGTTTGGGAAATCACTTGCCAGGTTAAGAGCAGGGGGGCATGGGGAGATCCCGCTTCAGAAGCATTTAAACCTATGTACAAAAGCATGCTTGCTAATGTTGGGAACGTAAAAGTCTTATCTTTAAGGGGTTTTGAGAGCGTTGAACTTTCCATGTTGTTTTAGATGGGGCCTGGTCCTGGGTCCGATGTTCTGGTTGTGCGGCCTTCACGTGGGATGCGTGGATCCAGGCAGCAATCCTGTCCACCTTCAGGGCGGTGGGAGTTGTCAGGAGCACAGTGTAGGGGCCCTTCCAGCGGGGCTCTAAGTTTTTAGTCTGATGCCTCCGAACCCAGATGGAATCGCCAATCTGGAAAGAGTGGGGCTGACAAGAGGTTCTTTGTTCCTCCTGGTATGCGGCTGCCAGAGGTTTCCAGACCTCTTCTTGGACTATCTGTAAGGATCGTAGATGTGCCTGCATGGAGGGGGTGTTTGCAAAATCAGAAATGTCAGCATCAAAGAATGATACAGCTGGCGGTGGACTGCCATATAGGATTTCAAAGGGAGTTAGGCCATGAGGGCCTGGAGTGTTTCTGGCCCGATAGAGGGCCAGAGGTAGGAGTTGCACCCAGTCCTTAGAGCCAGTTTCAAGCGTTAATTTGGATAAAGCCTCCTTAATGGTTCTATTCATTCTTTCTACCTGTCCTGAACTCTGGGGTCTGTAAACACAATGTAATTTCCAGTTTATCCCCAGCAACCTGGCCACCAGCTGACTTACCTGGGAGACGAAGGCAGGCCCATTGTCTGATCCTATTACCTGTGGCATCCCATATCTGGGAAAGATTTCTTCCAATAGTTTCTTGGTGACCATTTTTGCAGTCTCATGTTTGGTAGGAAACGCTTCCACCCATCCTGAAAAGGTGTCTATAAAAACCAGTAAATATTTATAACCATACATTCCAGGTTTGACTTCAGTAAAGTCTATTTCCCAATGGACACCAGGCCTATGGCCACGAAGCCAGGTTCCAGGATCCAGTTTGGTTTTTCCTTGGTTGATCTGGGCACAGGCCAGACAGTTAGCAGTTACTTGTTCCAGTAATAAATTCCGATTGGGAAGGTAAGTTCCAATTTCTTGTTTATCTAGCAAAGTTTTCATCTTTTTGGCACTCAAATGAGTCAGTTTATGGAGGTGGTCTATTAACATTTTTGCCATTTTTATAGGCAGTATAGTCTTTCCTTGGTAGACCCAGCATTGCCGATTGGGGTCATAATCTGCACCTAGTTTCTGAACAATGTCCAAATCCGTTTCATCATAGTCCCAATCTGGAGTCTTAGCTGTTTCCTTTTCAGTCAATATGCTTATAGTCAATAGTTGGGGGCCTAAGGCTGCTTGTTTGGCTGCTTCATCAGCCAGGCGATTTCCTTTTGCCTCCAGGCTTTCCCCCTTTTGATGTCCAGGGCAATGCATTATGCTCAATTTCTTAGGAAGGAACAGGGCCTTTAATAATGTCAAGATTTCATTTTTATTTTTGATTTCTTTGCCTTCTGATGTTAAAAGGCCTCTTCTCCGATAAATTTCTCCATGGACATGGGCAGTGGCAAAGGCATACCGGCTATCAGTGTACACATTAAGCTTCTTACCTGCTGCCATCTGGAGAGCCTGAGTCAGAGCAATGAGTTCAGTTCGCTGAGCAGAGGTGCCTCCGGGGAGTGCAGTGGCCCATATGACCTCTGAGGCATTTGTCACTGCAGCCCCTGCCCGTCTCTCACCATTTAGCAAGTAGCTGCTGCCGTCTGTGAACCAGGTGTAGTCTGCATCTTTCAAGGGCTGATCGGTCAGATCAGGCCGTGTTCCATGCATCTCTGCAAGGATCTGCTGACAGTCATGGGACACTGGTCCCTCTGGCAGCGGTAACAAGGTGGCTGGGTTCAGGGTTACTATTGGCCCAAACTGAACCCTGTCTACATTCAGGAGCAGGGATTGATAGTGAGTTAGATGGGCGTTAGATAGCCATCTATCTGGTGGCTGACAGATGAGGGACTCAACTGCGTGTGGTGCCAGTATGGTCATTGGCTGTCCCAGAGTCAATTTGGTGGCGTCCTTGATTAGAACTGCAATCGCTGCCACCATCTGGAGACATGGAGGCCATCCTGATGCAACTGGGTCTAATTTCTTAGACAAGTAGGCAATGGGCCGTCTCCAGGGTCCTAACTTTTGGTTTAAGACTCCTTTTGCATAGCCCTGTTTTTCATCAACAAAGAGTTCAAAAGGCTTGGTGACATCTGGCAAGCCCAGGGCTGGTGAGGACAGCAGGGCCTGTTTGATAGCATCAAAAGCCTGCTGTTGTTCCTCAGTCCATTTAAAAGGTGTGTCTTGCTTGGTTAGTGGGTAAAGGGGGGCTGCTATTTCTGCGAACCCCAGAATCCAGAGTCTACAGAAGCCTGCAGTCCCCAAAAATTCCCTAAGTTGGCGTTGGTTTTGGGGAATGGGTATACGAGATATAGTTTCTTTGCGGGCAGGTGTCAACCATCTTTGCCCATCCATTAGCTTGTATCCCAAATAGGTGACTTCCTGTCTACATATTTGAGCCTTTTTGGCAGAGGCTCGATACCCCAGGTTCCCCAGTGTTTGTAATAGGGCCCCAGTACCTGTTGTGCAGTCCTGTTCAGTGGTGGCTGCAAGGAGGAGGTCATCCACGTATTGCAGCAGGATCAGAGATGGATGCTTGATCCGGAAATCTGCCAGGTCTTGGTGAAGGGCCTCGTCAAAGAGAGTGCTGCTATTCTTGAACCCCTGGGGTAGGCGTGTCCAGGTCAATTGCCCTGAAATGCCCAGTTCTGGATCCTTCCATTCAAAAGCAAATAAAGGCTGGCTCTGGGGGCTCAGCCTCAGGCAGAAGAAAGCATCTTTCAAGTCCAGGACAGTGTACCAGGGATGAATAGGAGGCAGGGTGCTTAGTAGGTTATAGGGATTTGGCACCGTGGGGTGAATGTCCTCCACTCACTTATTGACTTCCCTAAGATCTTGGACTGGCCTGTAATCCCCGGTTCCTGGCTTCTTTACAGGCAGAAGTGGAGTGTTCCATGGGGATCGGCAGGGGATCAAGATCCCTTGGTCTAATAGTCTCTTTTTTTTTCTTTTTATTTATTTCTTTTTTTTTATTTAATTTTATATAACAAAGTCCAATTAAATGAAAACAAACATTTATACACAATATTTGGGAATTTGGGCGTCGTTCTTTCCAAACTACTTCCTGCTGGTAAGGGGCGCTGTCTTGGGGGATTCGAAGAAGATTCAGATATCCTAGCTGTAGTCTGTAGGGCTGTTTTGTCCAGCTGTTGGGAATGTAGGATCAGCTTGTACTCTGTTTCAGGCGGTCTGGTGTGATCAAACCACATTAGTCTGGAAGGAATCCACATCTTTTCATTTTCTGTGGAAACAAAAATAGAAATACTTTTCCCCAGTAACTTGTTCTTCAACTTAAATTTTGGAGTCAAAGCGTTTTTTTTTTTTTAATTTATTATTTTACATGTTGATCCCAGTTCCCTCTCCCTCCCTCCCTCCCTCCCCTCCAGCCCTCCCTCCCTCCTTCCCTCTCTTTTGCCCTCTCTGCCCTCTCCCATGCACTCTAAACACCCTCCCCTCCCAACCCCCCACCACAATACCATATGTAGGGGAATGCCATCCAGTTGGGGTCATGTAGATCTGACAGGTCCTGTGAAGTAGGGACTAGGGCTTCTCTCCTATCTCTAGAATAAGGCAGTTATCCCTCCATGGGGGATATGTTTGCAAAGTCCTTTTGTGCACCAGGGATACATCCTGGCTCCACTGTCTGAGGTCTCTTAGACTGCTCAGACCTTCTGGCTGAGACCCATATTCAGGGGGGTCCGAGTCAGTCCCCTGTTGGCTTCCCAGCTATCAGTCTAGTGGCCCTTAGCTCCTCCTTGTTCAGGTAAGCTGTCTCTATGTACTTCTACCGCATGGTCTTGTCCTCTCCATCTGCTTCTGGGTTCTAGTTTGACTCAGTGTTTATGTATGGGTGTTTGCTCCTGTTTTCAACAGGCATTAGTTGAGGACTCCATGGAGAAGTTAGTTGTTGATCTCACTCTCCGGGAAGGGCATTTATGATAGCCTTTCCACGGAAGCTGAGATTGTTAGTTGGGAGCAGTCTTGTAGTTCCCTCGACCTTTCTTTGTGTTTAACTTTATCTTCAAACCAATATTGGCTCCCTCTTTTATGTCTCTCTCTGTCTCTCTCTGTCTCTGTCTCTGTCTCTGTCTCTGTCTCTCTCTCTCTCTCTCTCTCTCTCTCTCTCTCTCTCTCTCTCTTTCCTATTTTCCATTCCTAACCAGGCTCAATCCTCCTGGTCGCATATGCCTTCCTCTCCTCCCTCTCATTTTCTCCTACTTCTCTCTCCATTAGCTGTCCTCCCCCACTTTACCTGAGGTCTGGGGGACTTGTCCCTTCCCAGTTCTGTGAGGGACTTTATATGAATCTCTTAGAATACAACTTGTATCCTAGTTCCTCTGGTGATGTGAATTATAGGCTGGTGATCATTTGATCTAGTTCTAAAATCCATATATGAGTGAGTACATACTGTGTTTCTCTTTTTGTGACTGGGTTACCTCATTCAGGATGGTTTCTTCAAGTGCCATCCACTTGCCTGCGAATTTCAAGATACCATTATTTTTTTCTGCAGAGTAGTATTCCATTGTGTAGATGTGCCACATCTTCATTAACCATTCTTCAATTGAAGGGCATCTAGGTTGCTTCCAGGTTCTTGCTATTACAAATAGTGCTGCTATGAACATAGTTGAACAGATGTCTTTGTTGCAATGATGTGAATCCTTTGGGTATATGCCTAAGAGGGGGGATTGCCAGGTCCTGTGGTAAACTAATTCCCATTTTCCTGAGGAACCGCCATACTGATCTCCAAAATGGCTGTATGAGTTTGCACTCCCACCAGCAGTGGAGGAGTGTTCCACTTTCTCCACATCCTCTCCAACATAAGTCATCACTGGTGTTTCTAATTTTAGCCATTCTGGCAGGGGTAAGATGGTATCTCAAAGTTGTTTTGATTTGCATTTCCCTGATAGCTAAGGATGTGGAGCATTTTCTTAAGTGTCTTTCAGTCTTTTTGATTTCCTCTATTGAGAATTCTTTCTTCAGTTCTGTACCCCATTTTTTTTAATAGAGTCATTTGGTGTTTTGTTGACTAGTTTCTTGAGTTCTTTGTATATTTTGGAGATCAGCCCTTTGTCGGATATAGGATTAGTGAAAATCTTTTCCCAGTCTGTGGGCTGCCATTTGGTCTTGTCCACTGTGTCCTTTGCCTTACAGAAGCTTCTAAGTTTGAAGAGGTCCCATTTATTAATTGTTTCTTTCAGTGTCTGTGCCCCTGGAGTTATGTTCAAGAAGCGGTCTCCTATACCAATTTGTTCAAGGGTACCTCCTACTTTCTCTTCTAAGAGGTTCAATGTGGCTGGATTGATGTTGAGGTCTTTGATCCATTTGGACTTGAGTTTTGTGCATGGCGACAGACATGGGTCTATCTGCAGTCTTCTACACACCCTCATCCAATTGTGCCAGCACCATTTGTTGAAGATGCTGTCTTTGCCCCATTGTATAATTTTAGCTGTTTTGTCGAAAATCAGGTGTTCATAGGTGCGTGGATTAATATCAGGATTTTCAATTCGATTCCATTGGTCTACCTGTCTATTTTTATGCCAATACCAGGCTGTTTTCAGAACTATAGCTCTGTAGTAGAGCTTAAAGTCAGGAATGGTGATGCCTCCTGAAGTTCTTTTATTGTATAGGGTTGTTTTGGCTATCCTGGGTCTTTTGTTTTTCCATATAAAGTTGATTATTATCCTTTCAAGGTCGGTGAAGAATTGTGGTGGGATTTTAATGGGGATTGCATTGAATCTGTAGATTGCTTTTGGTAAGATTGCCATGTTTACTATGTTTATCCTACCTAACCAAGAGCATGGGAGGTCTTTCCATTTTCTGGTATCTTCTTTAATTTCTTTCTTTAGAGCCACAAAGTTCTTGTTATATTGGTCTTTTACTTGTTTGGTAAGCATTACACCAAGATACTTTATGTTGCTTGTGGCTATTGTAAAGGGTGATGTTTCTCTGATTTCTTTCTCTGTCTCTTTATTGTCTGAAAAAAGTAGGGCTACTGAATGTTTTGAGTTTATCTTGTATCCTGCTAGTTTGCTGAAGGTGTTTATCAGCTGTAGGAGTTCCCTGGTAGAGTTTATTGGGTCGCTTATGTAAACTATCATATCATCTGCAAATAGAGACAGTTTGACTTCTTCCTTTCCAATTTGGATGCCCTTGATCTCCTTTTGTTGTCTTATAGCATTAGCTAGAACTTCTAGTACGATATTGAAGAGATATGGAGAGAGAGGACAGCCTTGTCTTGTTCCTGATTTTAGAGGAATTGGCTTAAGTTTCTCTCCATTCAGTTTGATGTTGGCAGTTGGTTTGCTGCATATTGCTCTTATTATGTTTAGGTATGTTCCTGTTATCCCTGACCTCTCTAATACCTTTATCATGAAAGGGTGTTGAATTTTGTCGAAGGCTTTTTCCGCATCTAGGGAGATAATCATATGGTTTTTCTTTTTCAGTTTGTTTATATGGTGGATCACGTTGATAGATTTTCATATGTTAAACCATCCCTGCAATCCAGGTATGAAGCCTACTTGATCATGGTGGATGATTTCTCTGATGTATTTTTGAATTCGGTTTGCCATTATTTTATTGAGTATTTTTGCATCAATGTTCATCAGGGATATTGGTCTGTAGTTTTCTTTCTTAGTTGTGTCTTTGTGAGGTTTGGGTACCAAAGTTATTGTGGCCTCATAAAAAGAGTTTGGCAATAAACCTTCTGTTTCTATCTTGTGGAACAGTTTGAGGAGTAGTGGTATTAATTCTTCCTTGAATGTCTGGTAGAATTCTGCACTGAATCCATCTGGCCCTGGACTTTTTTTCGTTGGAAGGCTTTCGATGACTGCTTCTATTTCATTTCGGGTTATAGGTCTATTTAAGTTGTTTGTCTGTTCTTGATTTAATTTTGGTAAGTGATAGTTATCCAGAAACTTGTCCATTTCCTTTGAATTTTCAATTTTTGTGGAATACAGATTTTCGAAGTATGACCTGAAAATTGACTGGATTTCCTGTGTCTGTTGTTATGTTACCCATTTCGTTTCTGATTTTGTTAATTTGCATGTTCTGTCTCTGCTTTTTCATTAATTTGGATAAAGGTTTATCTATCTTGTTGATTTTCTCAAAAAACCAACTCTTTGTTGCATTGATTTTTTGTATTGTTTTCCTGGTTTCTATTTTGTTGATTTCAGCCCTCAAGTTGATTATTTCCTGGCGTCTGCTCCTGCGGGGTGAATTCGCTTCTGTCTGTTCTAAGGTTTTCAGTTGGGCTGTTAATTCATTTATGTGACTATCCTCTGTTTTCTTCATATGTGCACTTAGTGCAATGAACTTCCCTCGTAGCACTGCTTTCAAGGTGTCCCATAAGTTCGGGTATGTTGTATCCTCATTCTCGTTGAATATTAGAAAGTCTTTAATTTCTTTCTTTATTTCTCCTTTGACCCAGGAGTGGTGCAATTGCACATTGTTAAGTTTCCATGAGTTTGCAGGTTTTCTGCTATGTGTGTTCTTGTTGAATTCCAATTTTAAAGCATGGTGGTCCGATAAGATACAGGGGACTATTCCTATTCTCTTGTATCTGTTGAGGTTTCTTATGTCTCCTAGTATGTGGTCGATTTTAGAGAAGGTTCCATGTGGAGCAGAGAAGAAGGTATATTCTTTTGTCTTTGGATGGAATGTTCTATAGATGTCTGTTAGCCCCAGTTGAGACATAACTTCTGTTAATTCTTTTGTTTCTTTGTTGAGTTTCTGATTTGTGGTCCTGTCTAGTGTTGAGAGTGGTGTATTGAAGTCTCCCACTATAAGTGTGTGAGGTTTTATATGAGCTTTGAGTTTTAGTAGTGTTTCTTTTACGAATGTGGGTGACTTTGTATTAGGGGCATAGGTGTTCAGAATTGAGACTTTGTGTTGATGGATTTCTCCTGAGATGAATATGAAATGACCGTCTTCATCTCTTTTGACTAGTTTTGGTTTGAAGTCTAGCTTGTTAGATATTAGGATAGCTAAGCCTGCTTGCTTCTTATTTCCATTTGATTGGAAAATCTTTTCCCAACCCTTTACCCTGAGGTAATGTCTATCTTTGGAGCTAAGATGTGTTTCTTGTATGCAGCAGAAGGATGGAGTCTGTCTTCGTATCCATTCTGTTAGCCTGTGTCTTTTTATAGGTTAGTTAAGACCATTAATGTTGAGGGTGAGTAAGGTCCATTGATTGTTGATGCTTGTTTGGTTTAGGTTTGTTGTTGTCAGTGGTATTGTGAATATATTTGTTCTGCTTCACCCTAGGTTTCTGGTGTAGTTGGATTATCTGTTGCCTACATTTTCGTGGGCGTAGTTACCTTCCTTGGGTTGGAATTTTCCTTCCAATACTTTCTGTAGGGCTGGATTTGTAGATACATATTGGGAAAATCTGGTTTTGTCATTGAATATCTTGTTCTCTCCATCTATATTGACTGAGAGTTTTGCTGGATATAGTAGCCTAGGCTGGCATCCATGTTCTCTTAATACTTTTAGAACATCTATCCAGGACCTTCTGGCCTTGAGGGTTTCCATGGAGAAGTCAGGTGTAATTTTGATAGGTCTGCCTTTATATGTTACCTGTCCTTTTTCCTTTGCTGCTCTTAATATTCTTTCTTTATTCTGTATGCTAGGTGTTTTGATTATTATATGTCGAGGGGTCTTTTTTTCTTTGGTCCAGCCTATTTGGGGTTCGGTATGCTTCTTGTACTTTCATGGGCATGTCCTTCTTCAGATTTGGAAAGTTTTCCTCGATGATTTTGTTGAATATGTTTTCGGCACCTTTGAGCTGGGCTTCCTCACCTTCCTCTATGCCTATTATTCTTAGGTTTGGCCTTTTCATGGTGTCCCACATTTCCTGGATTTTGTGTGTTAAGGATTTGTTGGATTCCTGATTTTCTTTGGTCGATGAATCTATTTCTTTTAGTTTATCTTCTGCGCCTGAGATTCTCTCTTCCATCTCTTGAATTCTATTGGTTATGCTTGTGTCCGTGGTTTCCGATTTTTTGCCCAGCTTTTCAATTTCCAGCTTTCCTTCCATTTGTGTTGCCTTTATTTTCTCAATTTCAGTTTTCAAATCTTGAACCGTTTCCTTCACCTGGTTAATTGTTTTTTCTTGGCTTTCTGTACTTTCCTTAAGGAATTTGTTCATTTCTTCCACTTTTTTGTTTGTTTTTTCCTCCATTTCTTTAAGGGATTTTCTCATATCTTCTTTGAGGGCGTCTATCATTTTTATGATGGTGATTTTTAAGTCGTACCCTTCTGCTTCCTCTGCTTTGTTGTTGTGTTCCATTCTAGTTGGTGTAGATTCCCTAGATTCTGGTGGTGTCATGTTTGTCTTTCTGTTGTTAGGTGTTCTCTTGTATTGCCTTCTTCCCATAGTTTCTTCCAGTAGGTGTTGGTGGTGTCTCTTCCCTCTCTCTATGGTCCTTCCCGATGGGCTTATGTGGATCAAAGATTCAATGTCTGCAGCTCTGTGTGGTCCAAGCTCTCTAGGAGGTTTCTCTGCAGACAGGGATCCAGGGATGGGGTCAAGGATGAGGATCCAGAAGAAGATGCCAGCAGGTACTCACAGTGGTCCTCTGGCCAATAGCTCTGGCCAATGACCAGCAGAAGAGGACGAGGGCTGAGCTTGAACTTGAGAAGGTTTTGCAGGGTAGTGGGATCTCACTGAAAACTGGCGCTCTCCAGCTGAGACCTTGTTCTTTGGCAGGGGCCCGGATTTGGGGGTCAAGGATCTTGCCCGCAGGAACTCTGAGTGAACCCGCAGAGATAGGCAGATCTCTGGGAGGGGCCCGGGACTCCAGCAGAGGACTGGAGGCGGGGTCAGAGACCAAGCAGGTGGAAATTACAGGTGGTCCCACGTGGATAGTCAGGTCTCCTTTGTTCGGAGTTGCTCCGAGAGGTCTCCGAAGTAGGGTGGACTGTTGGCTCTACCCTCTGTCCCAGTGCTCAACCAGAGCGGCAGGACCTTAGGTGGGGTAGGGCACAGGGGGGGGGGGGTAGGCTGGAGGTTGGGATGGGTGGGGGTGTATCAGAGCTCCAAGGGTGCTCTCAATGGGGACTGGAGACAGGAGCAGCAGGATCAGGGGCCAATCCAGTGAGTTCAGGCGGGGGAGGGGGGAAAAGAGGTTGAAGGGGACAGGCAGCCCCAATTGGGCCCAAACTCACCTCTGGCCAATAGCCGGCAGAAGAGGACGAGGGCTGGGCTGGAACTTGAGAAGGTTTTGCAGGGTAGTGGGATCTCACTGGAAACTGGCGCTCTCCAGCTGAGACCTCGTTCTTTGGCAGGGGCCCGGATTTGGGGTTCAAGGATCTTGCCCGCAGGAACTCCGAGTGGACCCGCAGAGATAGGCGGATCAGTCTAATAGTCTCTTAATGTGAGGCTTGATTCCTTGATATGCCTCATTTGACATAGGATACTGTTTAATTGAGACAGGGGTGGCTGTTGCCTTCAGGAGAATTATTAGGGGTGATTGTTGTATGGCCAGCCCCATGCCCCCTGTTTCTGCCCAGGCCAGGGGATGTTGTTTTAACCATAAGTCCATTCCTTCCTGCTGTTCAGGAGGCTTTTCAAAAAGTCTATATTCATTTTCCAATTGTAAAGTTAATATTTGAAGTGGAGCCCCTTGTGGGCCAGAGACTTTAGCTCCTGATCCTTCAAAATGGATCTGGGCTTTTAATTTAGTCAGTAGATCTCGACCCAGTAATGGATATGGACAGTCCGGTACATGCAAAAAGGAATGTGAGACTTTACCTGATGCGAGATGAACTTTTCTCTCCGTGGTCCATCGGTATTGTTTTCCTCCGGTGGCTCCTTGTACCCAAGCTGTTTTGGTACTCAATGGCCCGTTCGTTTCAGTGAGAACTGAATGTTGGGCTCCAGTGTCCACCTAGAAGGTGACTGGCTGCCTCCCGACTCTTAAGGTTAGCCTGGGCTCAGGGCGGGGGGGCTCCTGGCCCCGACTGCCCTAGTCTTCATCTAGGGCTAGAAGCTGAGTTGGTCTTGGGAGTCCGTCTCCACGCCTCTGAGTTTTAGGTCTCTTAGGGCAATCTTTGACCCAATGGCCTTTTTCTTTGCAGTAGGCACACTGGTCTCGATCTACCCTGGGCCTCCTTCCTTCTCCCTTCCTTTCCTGACTTCCTGCTCTATGATTATTCTGAGCTACAGTGGCCAGGATTTTGCTTAATTCTTTCCGGTTTCTACGATCCCTCTCTTCTAGCTCCTTTTTTAACTTGTCCTCTCTTTCCTCCTGCAACTTTCTAAGTCTTTCTTCTTTTTCCTCAGGTGTTTCTCTCTTATTAAAGATCTTTTCTGCTTCCTTTACGAGATCCTGCAGGCTATAATCTTGTAAATTATCTAGTCTCTGCAACTTAGTCCTAATATCTGGAGCCGACTGCCAAATGAAAGCCATAGAAACATTGCCCCTTTGCTCGTTACTATCAGGATCAAAGGGTGTATACATACGGTAGGCTTCCTTTAGCCTCTCCAAAAATGCAGTCGGAGTTTCCTCCGGTCCCTGGGTTATCTGTCTTACCTGAGCCAAATTCGTGGGACGGCGTCCAGCGCCGCGGGAGGCCCGCTATGAGTAACTGGCGATAAAGGCGCAGGTGTCCCCTACCTGCAGCAGTATTGAAGTCCCAGTCAGGACGATTTAGGGGAAAAGCTTCCTCAATTTCATTAGGCAACTGAGTGGGTCTCCCATCATCTCCTAAGACGTTCTTTCGAGCCTCCAGGAAGACACGTTGTTTTTCTTCTGAGGTTAGAAGGACCTGCAAAAGCTGTTGGCAGTCATCCCAAGTGGGTTGATGGGTTATTAGGATGGATTCAATTAGATTAGAGAGAGCTACAGGGTCTTTGGAGAAGGAGGGGTTGTTAGATTTCCAATTATAGAGGTCGGACGCTGAGAAAGGCCAGTATTGAAATTGGCCTCCTGGTCCAGCAGTCTGGCACAGGGGAAAGGCTCGGGAGGTTCCTTCTGTGGCTGTCTCCCTTCGACCATGGAGTCTGCCAGCTACTGGGGAGTCTGCAGTAGTCTCTTCTTGTCTGTAGTCCAGGGCAGGAGTGGTACTGGTACTGTCTGGTTTGTCCGGACCCCTTTGCCGGGCATCACCGCCACCTACAGTGCCCTGGGTAGGGGGCTGATAAGGGGGGGTGGTTCCGTCTTCTGAAAGTAAATCTATAAGATCAGACTCATCAGCAGGAAGAATAGATTTGGAGTGAGGGGTTTTCTCTTTCTTGAGGACAGGATATAATTGAGATTTGGCAGGTGCCTGAGAGGGAATGAGTGGTACAGAAGAAGGCAAAGGAGGAGCAGTGGGTCCCTGTGAAAGTGGGGCCACATCAGTCTTGGGGAGAGATTTGGAAGGGGGTTTGGGGGTGACAAAGGGAGCCACCCAAGAGGGTGGGTCAGAGGCCAGATTTTCCCAGGTGACAATATAGGCCACCTCGTCAGGGCGTCCGTGGGGCCCGGCATCGAAGACTCGTTCCTTCACCTGCAAGATAATACCAAGGTCGAAAGTCCCATCACAGGGCCAGCTGACGTTAAATGTCGGCCATTCAGAAGCACAGAGGTTTTGCCATCTCTTTTTCTTTACGTCCATTGACTGGTTGTGCGCTCGGCCCTGGACTTCGCTCCAGTGACCTAGGGTCAGACTCAAAGGGGTAGTTACAGATTGTCCCATGTCTTTTTCAAAATAAAGAAGCAAGTAAATAGACAAGGCAAACAGAACACACAGACAGCCGGCACAGAGACGCGCTGCGCGACTTCGGTGTAAAACCGAAACCAGATACTGAGTTGGAGGCACAGAGGGTCTTAAGCCCCCCTCTGGCCCCTCCAAAACCACGAATCCCCGGGACTCGTTGTGGGCCCCGAAAAATCGGACACCCCAGATCCCTGAGACGTCTCCCAGGGTGGTGGGTGGAAGTCCGAGCTCGTCAGCTCCTTCTCAAGCTGCCTACAGACTCGACTAGCCTAGCCGATTACCGATCGCTGCGCAACAAGCAACAAGTAAAAGACATATGAACAAGACAACAAAGAACAGAAATTAAGCGCTGGCCAGCTTACCTCCCTGTGGGTGTCAGTGTCAGTCTCCAGGGGGAAGGGTCTCCAATCTCGGTGGGACCTCCAATGAAAGACCCCCAGAGACCCCAAGAGTTTGGAGCCTGTCAGGGGGAAGGCCCTTGCCCCCAAGAGACGAGACCGGACCACTGGATGCAAGTGCAAGAGGTTATTTATTGTTTACACACAGGTACCTATGGACACCCCAGTCTTTTGAGAGACTGAGAGAGTGTGCCTGGTTAAAGCATATGCAGTTTATATAAGGTTGGTGTGGCAAGAAGCAGGCTTACAGAAGCAGAAGCATGGTTACAGGGACTTCATTGTTTCATCTAAATGTAGCAGTTGTAGTTAACCAAGAACAGTTGGTTATTCGGGTTGGGCACAAAGAATACAAAGAATTCAGTTATGACTATCTCAGCATACTGGATACTGTCCTGCTGACCTTGCTTTAGTCCAAGCTGCAGACCACAGATATCTGGTTGGCGTTGGATGAGAGCAGCACCTGGTTCCCTCCTGTACTTTTCTCATAACTTGACCTTGGCAAATTAGCAAGAGCAATTTAAACAGGCAATAAGCATAGTGGGGGTCTTTCAGGAGAAAAGGTCACTGGCCAGGCCATCAGCTTCCTAGAATTAGAGAAGTGGACCTATGTGTAAACAAAATTTTACTAGAGAAAGAGGGCTTCAAAATGCTTACATAAAAGTGTGGTGGTGGAACGCTACATCTGACAGAGGGCTGATCTCCAAAATATACGAAGAACTAAAGAAACTAGTCACCAAAACACCAAATAACCCTATTAAAAATGGGGTACAGAACTGAATAGAGAACTCTCAATAGAGGAAATAAAAAAGGCTGAAAGACACTTAAGAAAGTGCTCAATACTTAGCTATCAGGGAAATGCAAATCAAAACAACTCTGAGACACAATATTACTCCTGCCAGAATGGCTAAAATTAGAAACACCAATGACAACTTATGCTGGAGAGGATGTGGAGAAGTGGGAACACTCCTCCACTGCTGGTGGGAGTGCAAACTTATATAGCCATTTTGGAGATCAATATGGCAGTTCCTCAGGAAAATGGGAAACAGTCTACCACAGGAACTGGCAATCCCACTCTTAGACATATACCCAAATGATCCACATCCATGCAACAAATACATGTTCTCAACTATGTTCATAGCAGCATTATTTGTAATAACAAGAATCTGGAAGCAAGCTAGATGCCCCTCAACTGAAGAATGGATAAAGAAGATGTGGCACATTTACACAATGGAATACTACTCTGCGGGGAAAAAAATGTAATCTTGAAATTTTCAGGCAAATGGATGGAACTTGAAGAAACCATCCTGAATGAGGTAACCCAGTCACAAAAGAGGAACATGGTATGTACTCACTCATATATGGATTTTAGACATAGAGAAAAGGATCACCAGCCTATAATTCATATCGCCAGAGAAACTAGGATACAAGGAGAATTCTAAGAGATTCATACAAGGTCCCTCACAGAAGGGGGAAGGGACAGGTTCTCCTGAGCATATTGGGAGTGGGGGGGGGCAATGAGTGGAGAGGGAGCTAGGAGAAAGAGAAGGGGAGGACAGGAAAGTACTTGGGACTAGGAAGATTGAGTTGGGGAGGAATAGATGAGAGAGAGAGAGAGAGAGAGAGAGAGAGATACCATAAAAGAGGGAGCCATTATAGGTTTTTTTTATTTATAATTTTTTATTTAATTTTATATAACAAAGTCCAATTAAATGAAAACAAACATTTATACACAATATTTGGGAATTTGGGCGTCGTTCTTTCCAAACTACTTCCTGCTGGTAAGGGGCGCTGTCTTGGGGGATTCGAAGAAGATTCAGATACGAGAGAGAGACAGAGACAGAGAGAGAGAACATAAAAGAGGGAGCCAATATTGGTTTGAATATAAAGTTGAACACAAAGAAAGGTCAAGAGAACTACAAGACTGCTCCCAACTAACAATCTCAGCTTCCGTGGAAAGGCTATCATAAATGCCCTTCCCGGAGAGTGAGATCAACAACTAACTTCGCCATTATAGGTTTGAAGAGAAAACTGAACCTAGAGAAATGTCCAGAGACCTACAAGGATGACCCCAACTAACAATTTGAGCAACAGTGGAAAGGCTACCATAAATGCCCTTCCCTCATAATGAGATTGGTGACTAACTTATCCACCATCATAAAGCCCTCATCTAATAGCTGATTTTGGAAACAGACGCAGATACTCACAACTAAACACTGATCCCAACTGGAACCCAGATGCAGAGAGGGAGGACAAGACCAGGCTACAGAAACACATAGAGACAGCTGACCTGAACAAGGAAGAGCCAATGGGTCCCCAGACTGATAGCTGGGAAACCAGCATTGGACTGACTCAGACCACCTGAATATGGGTCTCAGTTAGAAGGCCTGGACCTCTGAGAGTGGAACCAGGATGTATCCCTGGTGCACAAAAGGACTTTGGGAGCACATTCCCCATGGAGGGATACTCTCTTAACCTAGAGACAGGAGAGAAGGCCTAGTCCCTACTCCAAATGACTTGACAAATTTAGATGACCCCTCCTGGAAGGCATCATCCCACATGTGGAATGGGGGGATGGGATGGGAGGGTGGAAGACAGGGAGGGAGGGAGAGGTATCTGGGATCGATATGTAAAGTATGAAAAAACAAATTATTTAATTAAAAGTAATAAAAAATAGTGTGGTGGTGGTAAATAAAAAGATTTTTAACAAGTTTGTTTCCTGTTAGTTTGTTCTGTTTTGCTTTTTAGTATTGTATAGAAAAACACATATTTGATACTTCTTTCAAAGTGAGGTCATTACTGCAATATGGCCTCATCCTGTTGCTGGGCTCCTACTGATAATTGTGCTACAACAATGCCTTGGTTACTTGGACATAGTAGAACACACACCTGTAGTCCTATATAGTATGAAGGTTGAGGCAAGAAGAGCTTTTCTGGATCTCAGAGTCAGCCTTGGCTGCACAGACTGACTCCTTATGTCAAAAATGCCTTGTCCACCATCCAAGGGACAGACCTGGGACTGCAGTCCTTTGAAAGGCTGGCATTTGGCTGACCTCGAGGAATATGACTCTTCTCTGCTAAGGATGGTACACTGTCTAAACTACACAAATGGTAGGTTAGGCTGATCCTGTGCTTACTCTGATCACCTAGAATTTTAGTAAACACTGTCTAAGACTGGCTCTGGTGGGTGGAGGTGGTTCGGGTCCCAAAGAGGATGTGTGGAGTTGGGAGGGGGGACATTATCTTAGGATGAACCAGGTTGGCTGCCAGCAGCATTTAATTGAAAAAAAAAAAAAAAGAATACAGCATGTGAGCATGGCTGTGGCTTGTGATCAGGGGTTGAGGAATTCAGCATTGATCTTGACAATAGGCACCAGTCGCATGTTAATGGAGGGCCACAAGCCTTCCACAAGAATGACTGCTTTTTCAAGCAAGAACTTTCCTCAAGCCCCCAAGGGAATTGAGAACCTTATCTAAATGCCTGAATTGGGAAAAGGACTTCTGGGGAGCAAACACTATACTACAGTTTCTTAGTATTTTTATATGAGCCTGCTCCCCTCATAACTAACACTGCAAAAGGGAAGGTTCTAATGTCTTACTCTTTTCCCATTATATGGTACCATTCTAATTTCTCTGTGTTTATTAAACCAACTCTTGACCTTAATGGCCTCAGGCTCTGGATCTGAATTGTAGGTGTCTCATCCTTGGGATCAGGTATGTCTAGTAAATCTCTAATTTTCCTGTTCTTGTTGTAACTAGGAGGGCACAATGGTATTCCTGGTTCCTCGGTGCTGGGGATTTTTTTCCCAAATAATTATTTTGTTTAGGAGAGGCTACTGTAAGGATGGAAAAATACAGCCTAACTCTCCAATGACCCTAGGAAGCTAGAAGTTTAAAAATACTAAATACCTTAAATTCCAGACCCTGCCCTCAGCCAGTAAATAGGTGAAAGGTCACACTCCTTGCAGCTTACCCGACTTTATAAACTGCTTGTGAACCCCCCCCCCAGTGACCTAACCTAACTGCCATTTGTCACCCCACCTAGGAACCCACACAAATGCAGACCTCCAGGGCTATAGAAAACTGATTGGTCTATGAAGTGCGGGCTTGGATGGTTTAAGTTGATTGGTCCAAACCGCACGGGCTCTGGATACTATGAGATGATTGGTTTACAATGCGTGGGCTTTGTTGTAATCCTATAATAAAAGCTGTCTCAATTCTGTACTCAGGATCTTCAGTCCTCTACCCCTGCATGGCACATGACTGTGGACCCCAGTGCACTTGGAATATAAAAGACCTCATGCTTTTACATCAAGACCATTTCTCCTTCTTGTGAGTGATTTGGGGTGTCACCTTTCCTGAGTGGGAGCTTGAAAGTCCACGCTCTGCGGGTCTTTCACTACCATTGTACACATTTTTTATCCTTTACCAAAGCCCGCACAGAATTTCCCAAAGGGAAATGCATTAATATTGAGAATCATTAAAAATGAAAGTAAAAAGGTGCTGGAGAAGTGTGGTCTGCAATGCCGAAAAGCTGGAACTTTGTCAAATAGCAATGGTTGCCGTGCAGTCCACGTGAAAACA